TTTTTCCTTTAATGGAGAGATTTCAACTAAGAAGAAGAGATAATCAATCTAGTTAGAGTGCCACCACTTTGTAACTTGTGGGGAACTAACATACCTGGCCATTGAGAGGCAGTGGCAGCTAACATCACAGAAGAGGCAGCAGCCCCTACCACCCTGACCAAAGACTGTGCCACCTCCTGGGAAGATGTCCTGCCAAGCAGTCGGGGTCAGCATTTCAGCCAGCCTCTACTTGTGACGTGTCCACATGGAGGTGGCCAGCACATCCCGGACGAGGGAAGCCACAAGTTAGACAATGTCCTGCGCAGAGACAGAGATGGAGGGCTCCTGCAGATGGAGAGACTTCAAAGCCCTGGAAACAGCCTGCAGCATTCCTGCATGCGCATGCAGGCGGGCAGTCATGGTAGTAGCAGGGCATGGTGACCACAGAGGTGTGGAATTTGTTGTTGGGGTACAGGCCATGGGGAGGGGCACGGTGTCAGCAGAGTTCTATTTCTGAGTGATGGATGCAAGGGTTTGCCTCACGGTGCTTCATTAAATCACTCATTTGTTTACTGAGTTTACTACTCAGAGGTTAAAGGGCAGGTGACAGCTCTCCTTTGACCTCCCTGAAAATCAGCGAGGTCTTTGTTCTTCAGGAGGTCAGTCAGATTAGCTCAGCACTCTCTCCGCACAAGTTTTGCTAATTCCTGTGTCTGGTCGGGAAGTCTGGTAGAGTTCCATCCCCTTGGCGTCTGTTCAGCTTCTGCCCCGATAGATACTGTCCTAGGTCCTGAGTGGCTAGCCGTGGGCCGCAGCTCCAAACACCCTGCCCTCATGGAGCTTGCTCCACAGTGAGGGTGAAAGGATGCAAAGGTAAGACAGATATTATGTTAGAAGATGGGAAATGCTATAGAGGGGTACCAGTCGGGGAAGACAACAAAGGGGGGACGGTAATGGATCCAGATAGGAGTGGGGAGCCAGGCGTGGTGACACATGCCTGTAACCCAGATACCCTGGAAGGCTGAGGCAGGAGAAGTGCCACCAATTTGAGCAAGCCCAGCTGGGCAACTTAGTGAGACTTGTCCCCATGTGTAACCTCCCCAGTACTGTGGGGGAGGGCAGCCTACTCGAAGCGTAGGAGGAGGTGGGAGCACAGACTGCAGACAGCCAGGGAAGGAACGTTCCAGGCCGCAGTGTGCAGGTGCGCTGAGGTGGCAGAGGAACCACGAGGAGGCAGTGTGGCCAGGGACTGGGACTGAGGCACAAAACGAAAATTGAGGCCCAAGATCATGGGGTGAGAATTGAAGGGATTTTTTTTTTTTTTTTTTTTTTAAATACTGGGGATTGAGGGCTGGCCAAATAGGTCAGAGGATTAAAGCGCCTGCAAGCAGGGGCAGGGGCTAAGGGTTCAATCCCTGGGCTTGCCTTGCCTCCCTATCCCCTGGGCGTGCTGAGATGGCAGTTGAGACTGGGCGTGGTGGCGCACACCTGTAATCCCAGCTCTTGGGAGGCTGTAAAAAGGCAGATCACTGTGATTCCAATCTAGTAGTAAGACCCTGAACACCTTGTAGACCCTTCCCTGAAATTAAAAAAAAAAAAACCTAGAGCCTTTGTGTTCTGTTTTTTTGGTTTGTTTTGTTTTTTGTTTTGTTTTGTTTTTGTTTTGTGGAACCGGGGATTGAACTCAGGCCCTTGCGCTTGCCAGGCAAGCACTTATTCTATTGAGCCACCTCCCCAGCCGTAGAGCCTTTGTATTGAACTATATCCCAAACTAATTTTTTAATTTTTATTTTTAGACAGGGTCTCACTACTTGCCCTGGTTGGGCATGAATTTATAATCTTCTTGCCTCAGCTTCCCAGAGTGCTGGGGTTACCAGTGTGAGTGCACCTTCTAGATTCTCCTTAGGAATTAACTGGGCTTTTCTGTTAAGCATGGTGGAAATGCCTGGAGGTGCAGGGCGCGGGATTATGGTAATGTCACTGGTGGTTCTCCTGGTGCACCCCAGCTGCCATGTTTGGATGGGCTGGGAGCAGGGTTCAAAGCAGGGAGCAAGGTAGGGTGCTGCTACACCACAGGCAAAGTGGCAGTTTGGGTGAACTGGAAATATTTGCCTTGTGGATCTGTGTTACAGATAGGCCTGATAGCTTCAGAGGGGAAGCTGGGCGCCATGACGGCTCGGAGGGTGTGGGTAGGAAAGTTCTGCCCGGAATGATGGAGCCGTCAGTGTGTGCAGTGAGGGCAACTCGGTTAGGAAAGTTTTAGGGGCTCCTAGCTGTCCCAGAGGGAAGCGGGTAGCACTGGGCTGTGCGGCTCCAGGGAGAACTGTCCTGGAGAAGGAAGGGAGCATGGCCAGCGGGGATGAGACTGAGCAGCGCGGGCTGCAGCCAGGAGTGTAGGAGGGAAAGCGCAGCCTGCGCTGCGGGTGTGAGCAGGGCGCGCCCAGCACGGACTCAGGAGCCTCACCGCTTCCTGGAACCCGTGCGGCCAGCCCACTGCTCGGTCACGTTCATTACCTTTTGCCAAAGATGCACGCATGTCCACTGAAAGCAGCCCTGGAATGTTCCTCAGGTTTCAGCACGGTGAGCTCAGGGCTGCACTGTAGACACAGCCCTGAGCTGTGCTCTCAGCCTTTCTGATAATAAGGACTAGAAGGCCGTGTGCCAATTTTGTTTTTTTTGTGTTGAAATGGATACATGAGATGATTAGTGTGAAGGAAAAATTGGAGTAATGTGAGGTTCTCAATTCTTAATCCTTGCTGACTTCATTGTTTTTTTTTGTTTTCCAGAAAAGCTTTGACCTGGAAGTACTATGCAAAAAAAATTCTTTACTACCTACGGCAACAGAAAATCCTAAATAACCTTAAGGCTTTTCTTCAGCAGCCTGATGACTATGAATCCTATCTGGAAGGTGGGTCTCCCCTGCCCGTGAGCACAATGGCCTTCTGGGTGCCCTCACCCAGTCGTCCAGAGCGGGGCTCAGCCCTCCCTGAGTGGGCCTGTGGGAGTTGGGGGGGGGGGTCTGGTCTGACCCAGGGATACAGGCGTGACCCACTGAAGTTGAGGGCAAGAGCATGTGAGCTCCGTGGCTGTCACTAGAGGGGGATGTGGATAAGGACGCAGGACCTTGGGAGAGCAGTGTGTTGGTGAGGTGAGCTGCTTGTTCCAAGCTTTAAAGAACAGTTTGCAAAGCAGAATAAATTTATCTGGCTTTATCTCTGCAACCCCGAGCAAGCCCTCAGCCTCTCTGTGGAGCTTAATGAAGACAGAATGTTCTCGGGTATTAGCTCAGGGTCTGCTGGTCCACTCATGAGAAGTCGAGGAAGGAGCCAGACTGGTGGGCACGTCATGACTTTGTGTTCCTGCAAAGTTGAGCAGGAACAAAATGTGACTGCAGTTTTTTTAAACTCTTAATTCCTAGAATGTTGCACAAACACTCCCATAAATTGCAGTTACGAAATACACGTTCACTTTCCTTCCCTGCTCCAGCCAGTCACCACTCTTGCGCTCTTCGCTCACCCTTCCACCCGCCTCATCCCTGTGCCTCCTTCTGCCGTGTTCCTGCACAGCAGTCAGCACCTCTCCCAGCAGAGGCTTTCTGAGGATGCCCGCTTTCCCGAGCACCACTCCCTCTGGCCCAAAACCCGCCTGTTCGGCAGCCCGTGTGAAGCATGTAGTGCAGAAACTGGCCTGCCTTTTAAAATCTCTGCTTGCTTTTTATTCCTTTCTGTGCTGGGAGTGGAACCCAGGACCCCACTTGCCAGGCGGGCTCTGAGCTGGATCCCTGGCCCCTCTGCCTGCTCTGCAGTACCCCCACAGCCCAGCCCTACCCCCTCGGAGCCCTGCCCTGTTACTCTGCAGCCGCTGTCCTAACTGGCTGGCACCTTGGAAACCCCACTTGCACTGCGGGTGTAGCTCCGTGGAGTGTTAGCTGTTTGCGGAGTTTACTGTCCTTACGTCCGCTGCAGCAGCAGTCACCTGTAACTGCCTCTCACCCTTTCTGTTCCCAATGCACGTTTTGTTTCTTGAGCTAGTCACTAAGTGTTTGACAAATGGCTCCTGGAGTTAGGATTACTGTGTAGCCATCAGTGCCTACTCCAGATGTTTGGTAATTATTTGAAATTATCCTCCACGTGGAACTGAGAATCTGTTTTAGTTGATTAAACTAGAATGTCCTAGTATTTCATATCTTCTCACATACAGACTGGAGCTGGGAGCTTTCTGTTGGTGTCACAGTTTGAAAAACATTGGCTGGGTGCAGTGGCACCTGTCTGCATGTAATCCCAGCACTCGGGAGGCTGAGGCAGGAGGGTCGCGGTGAGTTGAGGCTGCCCTGGGCTCCATAGTGAGTTCAGCACCAGCCTGAACTACAGACTGAGGCCCAGGCTCAAAAGGCTTAAAAAAAAAAAAATA